ACACACACGGCCCGCGATTCGTCGTTTCGCCCCCAAGTGGCCTCTCGAGGATGGATCTTGCACGACGATTAGCTTCTAGTGTTGCCAGGGCGGTGTCGACATATCTTAATCAAGGCTTATGGCGCAACAGCAGGTCTTAGCTCTTCCCTGGGGATTCTGCAATTCGCCAAGTCTCTGGATGTTTGTGGGGGGCGGAAAGCTGCGAGAATCGCAGCTCACTCCAGGAGTTATGTTGTTTACTTTCTTTTCGCAATCTTTTTTGAAGTTTGCACAAGAAACGGTGGTATGTGTTTTTTAGATTGAGTGTGAGTTCCACACTTGAGATTTTGTGTGGAAATAACGCTGATAGAGTGCAAACACCACCATGAACATATACATGTTAATATTCTTCAGCCACGTTGCCAAGCATACATTTTAAGCAACAGCATTTCAAAGAGCAGAACAACCAACGTGTTTAATTAATTTAAGAATGAATGAAAGAATAAAATAAAATCAAACTTACTTTTACATTTTAAATATGTATAGCGTGATGATTAAACACATTCTTATAACAAAAGATAATAGTCTTAGTACTTTACAGAGAATAGAATTGCTGATTTTTATGCCCAAAAGAACCATTTTTTTTAAAATATCAATACGCTAATTTCCTTAATTAACATTCGTGAATATAAGTCCTGCGCATTTCATTATACAGTAGCAGAAATTGTAGTCGCGGTTAAGAATATTTGTCACTTTATTTCAGAAAAATAGTGTCCAAGTGACCTTTATATTGGAGTCTATAATTCGTATCGGTTTGGAGTCACTCTGTATCAAAAAAAAAGGCAAGTGACAACATTTTCAAAACTTATCCATATAATTAGATATTATAAATGAAGATATCATCATGGGCATTGAGTTGTTTCAATTCATAATAACAAAATTTTTAGGAATTGTATTGCTTTTGAGCTTCTATATTGGGGTGTCGGAGTGAAATCCAAATAAAATAAGCGTTTGAGTGAAATTAATTTATAAATAATGAAGCTGTATTTAGAACAGGATGATTCCTTAAAATGATGAATGATATAATAATATGGAAGACGAACCCATTGATATTATCGAAGTGTAAGCCTGCTATTTACCACAAAGGATTAAACTCAATATCGTTACATAAATTTGTCCTCAAGGCAGTCGTCTTCAAGCTCAAGCCCATCGTTGTTGATATGAAATTCAAGTTATATATATACATATATATATATATATGTCTCTGAATAAATTATTTTAGCCATTCCAAGGCTGTGCAGAACTGACACATCGATATTGGGTTCCGAGTAATAGAAAGTAAATTATTTAATTATATTGAACAATAGGCTTCTTATTTTCTTCGATAGCTCCGTATTCATAATTTCTAAATACAATATGAAGCTCTTCAACTATTATAATGAATTCAAAGTGCTCATGGATTTTGTCATACATATATTTATATATATATATGACAATGGAAATCACCTCCGATGAATACGCCCTTTCAAAAATAAATGTGTTTGATTTATTATGAGCCGCCTTCCATTTTTTTTGAAGGGCAAAAATAAATTTGAAGTAATCATTTGCTTTCCTCCTTAATTTTACTGATATTGTAATGTGTTCGCAAGAGTATCACAGAGGGATCATGGAGCGACTTGTGTACCAGCATTTCTTTATTTCATGAGATTTTATTCACTATAAAAATTATAAAAATTTCCCCTAAAAAAATGCTTTTTATTCGAGGGTATTTATTGTTCATGCATAGATACAAATAGTCTATTAGTAGGGCACATATATACTTTAAATATATAACCCAGAGGGTGTTTTATTAAATTAGTGAAAGTCCTCCTTTATACAACGAGTAAAAATAAGTTCCCCATAACGGCAAAGGAATATTACGTTTTTTATTCACTTCGAATCGTAGTCTGGACGGTTGAGCTTTTCGTGAGGTCAAGTTCTTTTTTATTTCAAAAAATTGCGTGTGCATGACAAAATATTTATGAAAAATTCATTAAGTTTAAAAGACTACTGCAATGCCAATAAATAAATAGGTAATCTTAGGATAACTATGTATTATTGCCTTGAGCTAATAATCCTGGATAATGATGGCATATTCTTGTCAATTCAATGAATAACTTTGTTTTTTTTTATTTATCGTCAGATATTTTGATAAATGATTGATAAGAAGTCCTTTTGTTCATTACATCAATGTACCCAATTTATTCACTGCAATGTGATATAAAATTATAAGCAATTATTAATATTTAACTAAATTCATTTCCTGATTTAGTAAAATATCGCAAACATAAAATATATTTTAAATAGATACTACTTGCTTTCTATTGAATTTTATCAAGTCTGGATGCGAAGAATAATTTTCACAAGGAAAATAGTCTCTGCATTCTTTCGTTTTCTGTCTCATTCGAATGACGGCTCAGATGGGTATGATTGGAAGGTACGTGACTTGCAGGATAAGCGTGCATTAGCTATGAATTATATTGGTGATATTAAAAAAAGAGTACCTATCCATGATGCGATACGCATAAAGGCCCAGATTAATAATAAGGCTCTCGATCACAATGATGGTCCAAGTAGTCTTTTTGAACCTATTTCCTCTTTAACTGAACATGAAGAGACATACGATGATGTTAGAAAATACATGGAAACCGTTATTAATGGTTTGATGGATGAGTTTTCCGGTGACATTCTTGATTCCATTCATGAAAGTGATGCTTCGTTGTTGAAGGATGAATTCTTTGGTGATGAACAAACGCGGTCAGATTGCCTACAGAAATGGTTGAAATTCAGACGCGAAGTGTCAGATTACCAAAGTTATTTATCTGTTCCGATTTCGGAACAAAATGCTTGGTCAGCGTGGTATTTGAGACATGTAAAAGGAAACTTCTCAAACTCATAAAATAATAATAATAATAATTATCCAAACTATTAACATCGAAAACGAAAAAATTGAATGCTTAATGTGAGGTCATGAATTTCTTTTAAATATTTTTTGCGCATTATTTTTTGTGATTTTTTCTCCAAGCCTAAAAACATATAAATTTCAAGTAACACACGGAATCAAGTTTGGTCAAATGAAATTCTTGGTGGCATTCGTGCTTCTATTTTTTTATACTATAAATGTAGAAGGAACAGAAGTCGATACACAAGCCATATCTCTTTCTGGGAGCTCGGCCGCAGGATTTGTAATTGGGGCAGGGCTAATTGGAATGCTATACTTTTCAGTGAAGATGCTTGAGGGTATTCAGATTTCCAATTCAAGCGATTTATCAGAGGACTGAAGTAGACTTTTGTACTCTGAATGGCTTTTAGAGCTGCAGTTGATGTGTAGTGTGTCTTTTTTCCACCGAAAACTTCCACACAGCATTCAAAATATTAAATAAATGAAAAATAAGTTTAATGAATTAGCGATTTTTTCCTTTTCAAATTCTTTTTACCCTCCTTTTTGCAATGATAAAAGCTATAGTTGAGTATGTCATGAACGACGAGGTAATCAATATATTGCTGGACTACAGTGTCGCTAGGACTATTTCCCGTCATGCTATTGTGGTGTATCATTTGCTAACTAGCATTGCAACGGTTTCATATACTTCCAAAACGATTGCATGCGCATGCCTACTGTACGCCTTAAAGGAGCGTAACAAAACGCATTTAGTGAGTAATTTGAGGGAGCTCCGTGGCTCATGCAATGATTGCGAAGTGGTGGCATTGGAACTGTTTTTGACACAAACAATACGCAGAAAGATTCTTTTGATTGAAGGATGTATTCGTTTGTCATTAAGAAAGCTTGTTGATTTGCATCCAGAATTGAGCAAATTTAAAGAGGATTTGGTTCTGATTGCCCTTCTACTCGCTGAAAGACTTTACCGAAAAAGTTACTGCCTCTTGCCAGAAAGTGCTGCTATGGCAACATTAATTGCCGCTTGCAATTTACTTGCTCTTAGCCCGGAAGGCTTATCTGACAAGCTACAGACGCAGCAAGTTTCTGAAATGGTAAGTTTCTTGTCTGCTACTGTATAATTCGATTTTAAATATTCTTATGATATCAAGTTTTATTTGTTGAGTTATGATTTTTCTTTACAATATAATTACTACTTATTACTTTAATTCTCACTTTTTAAAAATTGCATTTACCCACGTATATATTTTTTATATTGAAAGCGTTTTTTCCTATATTCTGAATATGGCCTCAGAATCGGATGACCGACCCTCACTGAGTGATGGGTATTTTATGGAAAGCAGAATTGATAGTAAGAAGGCTTACGATATTAGGGACCCGCGTGTTTACCGGGACCTATTTTTTGAATTTAGCTCGTGCTCACTTATTGAAAAAGCGATAATGTTTTCTGAAAAGTGTACGTCCGTGCTAAAACAAGAAAGTTCCAAGTATTCTACTACATTGGAAGATATTTATATAAATCGTTCACATAGAATGAAGTTGTCTCTTGACGCATCCCGTAAAGTTCGTGAGCTCTTATTAAAAGCAGTATATTTTTTTCAAGAGTCTATACCTTCGCCCCCTTCAGCAAGCGCATTTGATCTGGTCGCCTTACTTAGTACGGCTTTAGCAAAAGACCCTAGTGAAAATGCAAGAGCACTTCTCAAAAGCTTTTCACGTGAGGATTGGAATTTAGGTTCTCCAAATGCATATCTGGAGATATTTTGCTTGCTTCGTTTAGATGACAGGGCTTTGCCATGCTCACTAAGGCATGAGTATAATGTGGCGAAATTCGACTTAGCGCTGAGAACTTGCCGAATTTCACCTATCCTGGACTGCATTCTGTGCGATGATGCGAAAGAGTGCATTTTAGTGGAATACAAACCACCAAGGATACCTCAAAGAACTTTATACGCTGAGGAATCGCTAGAATCTTTTCTATCCAGAAACTATACATTACCAGTTTCTGTAAAAGGAGCCTCTATTCTCTGTTCCTTGTATAACAACTTTTTAACATTTTTTGTTCCGAGAAAAATGATTTGCTACGAGATGGTCGGCCTGATGGAAACACGTCTCCAGAAAATCAAAGAGGAATCTTTGGAGCTTTCACTTGGAGAGCAGATTGTCTCCTGTATCAGAGATACTCTAATTACAGTTCAACCGATTTCTCCGCTTTATCATGCCGGCAAATCACAGTTTTGCGTAAAAATGTACGACCTTATATTGAAGAAAGCTACGAAGAGCGGGCGTTTGATATTCAGTGGTCCCAATTTCTACTTGTGGAACCCATCAAACTGCTTATTTTCCTTCTGTTCTGGCACTCTGGTAGTCTTGAGGCACACGAGTAGCCCTACTCTGTCCAGACGCTGCCTATACGTTTGCTCTATTTTTATTGACAAAATATTTGATAGTTCAGACGAGCTTGTGATTAGCACTGAGGGTACATCGCTAATGCGCAATCCTTCTAGCTCCGATGGTAACAAGGCGTTGTATTTTACCAAAGCTTCTTCGGTGTCTGTGGGTCGCGTAACACTCAAAGGTGACTTCACTCCATTTTGCATTGAGTTTTGGGTGTATCCGTGCACAGCGTCCGAAATGCAAACTCTAATATCCATTGGTGATAAAAGAGTGGATGAAATATTCATCGAAATCGAAGCGTGCAGCGATGGTGTGATCTGGAGAGGAGGTGCTAGAACCCCTCGTTTGGGTCAATCGTTTGCAATGTTCACAACATCAGGTAAAGCTTATCTGAGGCGTTGGTGGCATGTGGGCCTAAATTTCACCGGCACGACCTGGGAGTTGTGGTTGAATGATCACTTTGTCTCAGTTCAATCAGCTCTATTAAGTCCGCAGCCAATCCAAGATGTCAAGTGCACCTTGTGCAAGAATTTTGTTGGATTTTTGTCAGAGGTGAGGATTTGGTCCTGTGCGCGTAACGCGATTGAATTATTGCGAGACGCCAATGTGCGACTTGAGGGAAGTGAGAAAGGTTTATGTGGTTACTTTCGCCTTGATGAGGGTGGTGGTGATTTTGTGACGGATTATTCACCAATTAGAGAGCATGTACTGATGGCACATGGGGAGCTACATTGGTGTGCGTGTCCGTCTGTGCCGATTGCGAGTTCGTGGAATACCAGGTCAGAGTACCTCATTCCAGATTTCGTACCCTTGTCGCAAAAGGATGATTTTGAGTCACTGCACTTTTCTGTGAGCCCTCGTTATTTTACTGTAGCAGTTGCCACACGGGGTCCAGCTATCTGTCTGTACCAGTACAATCGCAACACTTATGCGCTTGCTGCTCAGACACATTTGCGTTTAATGGGTAATATGAAGGTTATTGGGATTTGGTGGAATTCCACACATAAGTCTACTCAATGTGGTGCTATTAGCGAATGTGGGTCGGACCAGTTGATTATGTGGGAAATCGGTGAGTACAATCAATTTTGCTTGAATGCACCTCCCAGAGCTTCGTGTACTCTCTGGTCATACGGGAGAGAGGTGCTTCTCCAAAGTGCTGAATATGCACAACCCTATTTAAACTCTGAGCGCTTTCTAATGGACGGCACTTCATGGAGGCTCTCTGTCCCAATCCTCACGGTGGATGCTAGCCCCAACACGCTCCATTTCCTTTTAAAATTGGCGGAAAAGGCGATTAGCGAAGTAGATAAGGAGCTTGCACATGCAGCGTGCGTTTTGTTGCATATGAATCTACTTTTTCGACAAAGCGGCACCGATGACAATCTAGCGCAGGAGCTGAGCTCATTTTTTTCGGACGGCTTCGCGTTGCTGGCAGTGATCGATAGTGACGAATCTGAGCCTGGTCTGTCTACACTTCGAGACAGAATCGTAAAGCTTGCCTTTTCAACTTTTGCAGAGAACTCAGGGCTACTTGAAATTTGTTGTCACTGTTTTCTTTCTGAATCATGTAGGATTCAGTTTATCAAAAACACGTCCGGTAGGCGTCGAGTAAAACATGAGGAGAGGCTTTTTTGGTGTCTTGTTAGCTTGTATCGGTCCTTGCGGCATTGCCACGAGGTTTATGAGCGGAATGAGCATATTGAAACGCTTTTCAAAGCACTGATTTTGGAATCTGCCTCTCAAGTTGATGTTGGTGTAAGGCAAAAAAAAAACGCTGGCCTTAAGCAAGTCAGCCGATGTCTTGAGTTATTGCAGGAGGTCCTCTTTGACAAAATTACTGAAGCACCTGAAAAGGTAGAGCTCAAGGAATTGTGCATGAATTACACGAAGTCACTCCTAAAGGCATGCGAAAAAATTATAGAGTCAGCCAGGAAGACACTACAAAGTCACCCGAAGATTGAGCAACCTCTGCTACAGTGTTTGAGGCTTAGTCCGATTGGCTCTCTTCTGACTTCATTTACCTTGTCTTTGCCGTTTTTACCGACATTTATACTTGTTACCTGCCAGGTTCCGATCCAGGAATGCCAAGCCGCATTGCTTTCCGTGACACGGTTAATGTCCGAGAAAGTGATGTGGATGTCGGAGCTATGCATCGCGATGACCTTTTCCCTTTGCTTAGTTGGCTGTATGCTGCTAAGAGCGAACTCATTACCAATTACAGACACAAATGATGAGAGCAAATATACTTTAGAATCGAAATACCTCAACATCATGCGAGGTGGTCCACGTAAGTGTGGAACTGAACGCGATCTTCTGATAAAAAATATCCAGCAAGGTGTCGGCCCCATTGGTATGGCGTTCGAAAAGTTACAATTAAGAGATAATTCCGCACTACGAATGGTGCGAGACGACCAGCTTAAAAGGGTGGAACGTTACATAATGGCGGCTATATGCGCGCTTACCCTGCCTACAAGTGATCTAAGAAAGGCTACACCTGAAAGTTTGGAACCAGCCTTCCAGCATTTACTGAGAATGCGTCCATATATCATCGCAAAGCGTCAAGAATCAAAGGAAAACTTTGCTGAGATTGAAAGTCGCGCTGTTTTTCTTGCACAATTTGAGCCTTGTTGTGTGCATATCGAAGGGGAGCCAAAAACAACACAATCAAAGGTTCCTCCAAGAGTTAGCAAAGGCATTCGTAAAACTGTGCATAAGGATTTTGGGAGCTGGAGGAGGCTGTTCAAAAATTGGAAGGTCATGCGACTGCTTAAGACACTTACTTTCTCTCAAGAGGAGAATGACAGCACACATATCGGCAGCGACATTGTTGATTTCCTGCAATCAAATGTGATAAAATGCGCAGATGTTAAGAAATCTGTCGAGTTTCGCACCCGGAAAGCTCATTATCGTCTCTCAGGGTTGCTAACATTAAAGCAACTAGTAGACGAGGCTCGTGTCAATGCGTCTCTTTCACACATCATCTTACCTGTAATTTCGAAAAACCTGTGCGCCTGGCATTACGGAGACGGGGTCGAGTGCTGCTCAAGTGAGGATGTTTTCCGCCTACATGGATCCTTCTTCCAGTTGTTTGATGCTATGCTAAATAAATATTTAGATACTGGCAACATTGACCAACAAAAGGATGATCATCGCGAACGTTACCATTGGGATGTATTCTTGCTTTCACTTATCATCTCACTCAGACGACAAATTGACTTTCGTAAAGTTCGGAGCAATCTTGTGGGCAAGGCTTTTCGATCCATCATGAAGGATTTCCAACTCAATGCGCTGGGATATCGTCCACGTGTGAATAGTATACTTCCAACTGGCTTTCGAGAGACCAAGCTGGATGCTAGCTTGGCCGCTGCGAACATAAAGATTGGCGACTCGGGTCTTATTGTTAAAACAAATGGCGGTAGGGGATCGTGTCTTGCGCCATGCAAATGGACAGCTCTAAAGAACAAAGATGACTTTTATGTTTTCTATTATGAGGTTTACGTGGTGGATCTTCTTCCTGGGGCGATGTGTGCAGTTGGTGTAGGCCCTTTCGATTGTAGATTATTCCGACTACCAGGGTGGGAGGCAAACTCGTTTTCCCTTCTTAGTGATGAAGGTGTGCTCTTTTCTGGAAAGCCAGCGGGGCGTGTCACCGGGCATAGTTTCGGTATCGGTGATGTGGTGGGCTGCGGCTGGAACGTGGCGAAGCGGGAAATATACTGGACCA